ACTGAGGAGAAATTTCCTGACAGTTAGAACAATTACTCAGTGGAACAACTTGCCTCTGGAAGTTTTGAATGCCCCAACACTGGAAGTTTTTAAGAAGATGTTGGGTAACCATATGTCTGAAGTGGTGTAGTGTGTCCTGCCTGAGCAGGAGGTTGGACTAGAAGACCTCCAAGTTCCCTTCCAACTATTCTATGTTTCTATGATTTTTGGCCCAAAGAATTTGAGGATGAATCGTGTTATAACTCCAGATCGTCCTTGGCTTAGAACTATTCATTTAGCTATGGTTCGGAGGTACAACGGTATAAGTCCTTATGACCGCAGCTGATTCCAGAATTTCTGTTGCCAAGGGAGACAATTGTGAGTTTTGCCGCGTTTGATGATCTATCATTTGCCACAGTTGTTAAGTGAATCACTGCAGTTGTTAAGTTAGCAACACGGTTGTTAAGCGAAGCTGGCTTCCCCATCAACTTTGCTCATCAGAAACGGGAGTCACATGATCCCGGAACACTGCAACCACCGTAAATATGAGCCAGGGGCCAAGCATCCAAATTTAAACAGGTGACCATGGGGGAGGCTACAATGGTGGTAAGTGTGAAAAACAATCATAAGTCACTGTTTTCGGTGCCACTTTGAATTGTCCCTAAATGAATGGAAGTCAAAGACTGCTGCAGTCTTCACACTTACGACTGTTAGGTAAACTCCCTGTTGGGAGAGCGAGTACGTTCAGAGAAGCGTTGTGAGAGTGTTGTTGAAGAACACACAAACCAGCATACAAAGACACTGCAGTTTAAATAGGCTTTTACATTCATGGAAATAGAGGTCCATCAAAAAGTCCAAGTCATACACGGATAAGACAGTCAATCATCAATGTCTTTCAATTAAGGGATAATCCAAATAACATAGTCCATAATCATACAATCAGTTCAGTACTCAAAGTTTGTTAGCAGTTGCAAAACTTACAATAGCTCACGGCACTTTCTAACAGCCAGCTTCCAAACCATTCAGATCAGATCAGATCAGCCCAGCATCTAACAAACAGAGAGCTAACAGTCATTCTGGCTCCCTCTTATGGATGATTGAGGAACACAGCAACCAAACACATTTTACAGTATGANCCCTAATGAGGGCTTTGCTCCCAAGTTGACCCTTGTTCCTTAACTGTTCCCTTCACCTGGCAGCTCTGCGCACATTGGGAACAGGCTCCAGCTGCTCTTCTGCCCCACTGATCTCCGACCCCGAAGGCAGCTGATAACTGTCGGATGGCTCTGGCGCCATCTCTGCCTCTGATGCAGAGCCCTCATTAGGGCCTTCCCCAGACTCCAGGACTGGTCCATGTTCCTCCCCAACCTCCTCACTGTCTGAGTCTGCCACCAGCTCCTCTAGCCGCTGGCGGGCCACAACAATAGCCTCCTTCACTTTTCTTCTTTTCACTCCTTCTGTAGGCCCTCTTCGTAGACAATTGGCGAGTCCTGCACGGCCGAGAATCTTTCACGGGATATCGCCAGCTCTGCGGTTGCTACCTCACGAGAGATGATGTGCTAAACGCAGCCCGTTTCCTTGGCCTTCAAGCCTAGGGTGGCTTGGACCTCTGATGGTTGGGAGCTGCTGATTCAGGAATGGAGAGAACAAAGTGTATACCTCACAGACCTGGCCTCCTGTCCCAAGAGAGAGGAGAGGTCCTCTCAGCGTTACTTGAGGTCCATCAAATATTGTCTATTGCCTTTTCTTCATTCTCCCCATTCTAAGCTCCCTGATTGGTTCTACTTTGGTTTCCAAAGCCAGCCCATTGGCTCAACTCAGGACAGATGGACTTGGCAGCCATGTAAGAAACCTGTTCTGACCTCCAAGGTGCTACCTCTTGTGCCTTTTTGCTATTGAAAGCAGCCCTGTCCTCTCGAGGAGACCTCCCGTGTACAAAACCATCAAGGTTCTTTTACTGGACGTCCATTCTTGAAACCTGGTAGAGTCTCAAGGAAAGTTGAGCTAGTTCATTGGCAAGACGTGTTTGTTGGCATTCCAGCCTTTGAGATCTCCAGAGTAGACCGCTACCCAATGTTTATAAGTTCTGCTTCTCCGTGTCTCTTCTCTTTCCTGCCTGCTGGTGATATTAAGCTTGCCATGTGATGGGAGAGTTGCTTTAGAAAGCCTTAGAGCAGGAAGAAGGAAGAAAAAACACAGATCTGGGGAGGGAAGACAATATTAAGTCCTGATTTCCCAGCACTGTAAAAAAAAAATAATAACAATATAACTATAGCACTCCATTTCTTTCCAGCTTACCCTGTTGTCCGTTCTTCATCTGGGTCATTGCTTTCAACTTCCTCCAGAATTTCTTAGCTGTCCATTCTGTGTTGGGAGGAAGCACAATCCCATAATTTCCTTGTTTTGTTTATTCTTTCCTTCGAATGACTTTACTTTGATTGACAACGAGAGGCCCTGCCTTTCAGTTGCTGGAAGCCGCCAATCCTTGTTCTGAACTAAAGCTCCAACAATCAGGAAGAGAAAGGAGTTATTCCCCTTAGCTAGTTAAGTGAAAATAATTGCAAGTTTCGCTTTGACTGGCCATCT